CTAATGCGTAAAAGTATTTTTAATCTTAAAATGAAAATTACTTTGCACAATAGATGGGCAAGATGTGAAAATTACAAAAAGACATGAGAGAAACATTGCTTTACAAACCTTAAGACTTAATAAAAAAATTAGATATTTTGCATATGAAAGCATTGTATTGTTTACTGATACACTGCCAATTTTCATTAACATTTGCTTACTAATTTAAAAGTGATAACATGAAAACTATAACAAGCACAAAATGGTTACGAGGGTTGAAAGAGTTATGCATCAAAATTTAATAACTAGCCAGTTTTGTCTCTAAAATCCAGTTATGTTCATTCAGTGCTCTTCCTCAATATTGAAATGTCTATAACACATGTACATTGTAGATATCAGGTATCTTAACAACATGTAGTCTTCAAAAGTGATAAAATTGTGAATTTACAAACAAACTATTATAAAGTGTATTACTGTGTCCATGACAACTTTTATTAAATTAAAAATTATCAAATTCAAGTACCTAGCAGATTCAGATTTTAAAGTTTATCTAAATTTTTAAGGCTCAACAAAAATAGAAATATCAAAAGAAATAAATTATTTTTTACGTTGCATCATTAATTTTTAAACATTTTATCCGGCATACTGTATCCAAAACAAAAACTATGCTTATTAAACTTGTAAAAATAGAATGATACTCCAATTTCGTAAGGAAGGCAATAAACCTATTTTTTTTCAAAAATATTTATAATCAAGATATAACAATGTTTTACATATTTGTCAAAGAAATAATACAGAATCATGAAAGTTGGTAAACTTAAAAATGTACCTGAAAAATATTCTTGCCAAGTGCTTCATCAATCAAAAAGGCTTTACATCCATTGGCCAGAAATGAACTTTTTCCAAAGATGGATACAATGCATACTTTGTCTCTTGGCAATGTGCTAAATAAAATTAGAGAAGAAAAAATGCTATAGTAGTGAAATGCATTATTTCTTTTACTTGTCATATTCAATTTAATGAGGTAAGAAGTTAATTAACAGCAACACTTTTTTCACCTTTCTTTTTCCAAAGCTTTGAGTAACACACTGAATTAAATTGAGGTTTACCTTCGAGACTGACTGACAAGATTTAAGTACATCACCTCAATGGAAAAGACTGTGGTTTGTTTTGCCCATTTAGTGATAGTACCCAGTGATGAATGTTAAGCCTTGGATACTTTGTTTGGAAATAAAAATGTTAAATATTTTTGTGGTAATTAGATACATCTTTCCCCAAGATTTTAAAAAGAAGGTCAAAACATTAGATATGCAAACTTTTGAATCTTTTATTTTTCATACATCAACACAACTTCTGATCACATGTAGAATGTTACCTTGATATGTGGATGATGGTGGTGTTCTTAAATGTTCAAAAGGATTTGGATAATATGCCACACTGATACATAAGATTGGATAAGAAAATCACATTGGTGAAATGTGGGAAACGATTAGTTAATTTGATTGAATAGTGGCTGGATGAGAAAAATAAAAAAATAACTGAACTTCTGCTACTAGTGCTATGCCTCAGGATTCAATGTTTGGGCTTTATCTCTTTCTTATTTACATTAATGATATTGATAGGGGAATAATCAGCATATTTGGAAGTTTGTTCAAGGCATTTAATTTTTAGGTATACTTCCAGATGTATTTAGGATACTGAAGTACTACAGAATGATTTGAATCAATTTGGTAAGCTTGACATATATTTAGCAAAAGTCCTTTAATTATAAGAAGTTCAAGGTAATGCTAATGGGTAATCATAATTTTATCAAGCATTTAATACGCATGGGAACCTGCTCAACTGCATGACTGAAGAAAAAGATCTTGGCACAGCAACAGGTAAGTCACTCAATCCATCAAGTCAGTGCTCTGTTGCTAGTGGAAAAGCTAATAGAGTTTTAGGATTTATTTATAGATATTGATTACAACTCAAAAGAAGTAATTATTGCTTCATAGAAATCACCAATTAGGCCTCATTTGGAATACTGCGTATATTTATGGTTTTCCTATTTAAGATATTGACTTATTGGAAAGGATTCAGAGGATGGCTACTAGGAGGATTTCAGTTATAATAGTTATCTTAAGTGGATAGATAAAGATCTAACTTTTCTCCTAAAAAATGAAAGGTAAAAGGTGTATCTTATTAGCTTTACAAGATTATCTGAGGGATTAACACGGTAAAGGCTATTAATTTCTTTGTGCTGAATTTTGAGGACAGTAGGACACAAACTGAAGATTTAGAAAAGATATGGTTATTACCTTACAAAATAAGTTTCTATCAGAAAGAGTGGAGATTGGTGCCTTACAAGAGTTTAAACCTATGTGCATGAATGGAGGTCAAAATGCACATGCCCTGATCTTTCTCAGAGTGCCATTCAACATAGTATTGTGTATTTGATGTCAGAGTTATCAACTATTCATTTTATCCTACATTTCTGTGGTAGAGGAGAGTGAATACCAGATACATTATACATGGATACTGGAAAAAACTGTAGATATGAATTTAAAAGATTCTAGAAGTTGTGCAAATGCAATACACAAACTGTACAATAGACAAAAGCATTTTTATTGCTCACATGAATATCACTTTGCACTCTGACTTGTCAGAGTCTCAGTCAGATTGAGTGCAAATACTTCTATAACACATCTGATACATTATGTATAACAGACTTGTACAATTTACTAAAAGCTTGTCACATTTAAGGTAGATACCTGTAATAAATTTGGAATATAGTCAATATTCCTTTTCTATTGCAGGACCAACCCCATGCACATTTGGTTAAGAAAGAAATCAGTGATTTCCTTAAGATTATACTATTATTTTTCTTGGGGATAGGCATAAAGGGATAGCTTTAAAGGACCAAATGATTCACTTGCCATACAATATCTGCCAATGCCAATCATTAGAATTGTAGCAGGGAGAATTTAAAGTGAATTGTTAATCCGAGAGGCTATAGATATACAAGCTGGAAACTTGTTTGAATAATTTCTGAAATACAGAATTCATAACCTTTTGTTCCTTGCAAATCAAAGACTCTCAAGGATTTTATTAATCTGTGATATACTGACATCATGATGTAAAAAAATAGCATGAAATTTAACATAGGATAATTCTGCTGAATGTTGAAGAATGATAGCTCACATTAAAAAGAAAAACAAAACTAATGAAACTAGCACTTTCAATAGGTTGATCTATTGCCTTCCTGGGTAAAGTACAAAAGGAAATCATCTAATTGCTACATTAAATCTACTAGTCTTACATGTGCTTGATCACTTGAAATGTGCATTTCAACTATAGTTTTCTGCATTTACTCCTTAAAAAAAATCAGGTCTACTTATCAAAAACTAAAGGGTTGCATTGTTTCTTTCATATTATTTAAACTTTTTTGATCCTACATGTCTCTTACTTATTGTGTATGTAACAATGTATAGTACACATGATCATGATTTTGGTAGGTCATACGTATAATATAAATATTAAAAATGTTAATATCTATTACACCCTTATATAAAGAATATCTATTTTCCCAATTCTAACTAAAATGAAATAAGCTTTTAAGTATTTTAATTTGTTATATTAAGGTCTTGGGTGTTGCTGAATATGATGCTATTGCTTTACAAAAGGATTTGGATTTGGTGAGTTGAGCAAATAAATGGCAGATGATTTTTAATTATAATAAATACAAGGTAATGCAATGTGTATTATCATAATTTATATTATAAGTATAATTTGGATGAAAATAATATTAACAGCATTGTGTAAAAATAAGTATGTGGGTCACTTGGTCAATCAGTTCCTTAAGCCATCCAAGCAGTGTGTTGTTGCTAGTGGTATACAGATAAGATTTTATGTTGTATTTATAGAAATACTGAATAAAAGTCCAAAGAGGTTATAAGTTCATTGTATAGGTCATTGATTAGGCCTCATTTGGAGTACTGTGTTCAGTCTTGGGTTCCTTACTTTGAGGACACTGAATTATTAGAAAGGGGTCAAAGGAGGGCTGCTACAAGGATGATACCTGGGTGGGTAGGTAGCTTGTTTGGACTTAAAATTTATATTAATTACACATATTTAAATGTAATGCACTTAGCATAATATAACATTTAAGGGCAACAAAGCAGCATATTGATCCATTGAGGCTGTTCTGTCCACAAAACTAACCTTAAAAATCTCGGAGTCAGCCATTATCATTTAAATATTTATCAAGTCTTTCCTTAAACTCCTACAAATTCATTGCATCCATCACATATGAACATAACCAATTCCCAAAGTCAACCACCATGTTAGAAAAGTAAAACTACATTGGTTGAAGATGATTTCTTCCCTGTCAAATTTAAACTTATGTTCTCTTGTCCTACAATTCTCACCATTTAGTACAAAAAAAGATATGCATCAACACTATCAATACCATTAACAATCTTAAATACCTCAGTAAGATCTCTAAGTATTCTTTTTCAAGAGATGCTAATCAGTCCTCATATGGTAACCTTCTTACACTAAAAATATATTATCTACTAATGTGCATTTTACAGACACTATTAGAGAATGTGCTGTATATTTAAAAAAAAAGAAGTCAAACACTGAACAGTTGATTTGGACAATGAGGAAAGTACACCATGGTCTAGCTAAGATTTCTGCTACTTTTTGACTAATCATTATCATTATACTGTACAATCTAATCTAAGTGTATTACAATTCTGGCAAAAGATTTAAAATTGAAAGCCATGCTAAATTTATTTAAACACTTGGGTACCTTTGCTTTAGTATTTTTTTAAAATAAATGTTGTGAAGGACAGTCTATAATAATAATTATTATAATTAAATTAAAAATTCATTGGATATTATAATATAATTTATTATGAATTATTCGTAGTTTGGCGCAGTAATTAGTAATACTAATAGTATACACCTTGAGACAGCGTGTCACTCCCATTCCTATAGTAACTGGCAATTTTTAGGATGTTGCTGGATACAGAAATTAAGTACATTTCTTTAAATTAAAATAAGACTATCTCTTAGTGAACTTTAAAATAAAAATAGTTTTTATCTCAAAGTCTAGTTTCATTTAGTAATTCAAGTTTCAACTAGTTATTACACTAAGCCTTACCCTATTTCATGTGCACACAAACCTAATTGAAAGAAATAAAACAAATAACAATGCCTAGAACTTATCAGTTAAATACTATGATAAGCAAACATTGAGAAACATGAAATCCACCTTGCATCAACTTCAGACAATGACGAAACTGAGAACGAAATTTCCTCTCGATTAATTTTACTGCACGGCGCCATATTTACAATCTTGTTTTCAATACTGTCATATATTAAGTTTCCAATTCTTGAGTACATCGCCGTCTATTGTTCAAGAACAATATTTCAAAAAGAAAAAGAAAAAAAGAAAGAAATAACACCTGTGCATGTGACATTTTACATAAACTTGTTTAAATTTAGGACTTTTACAATTTCCGATTCTTCGCAATCAGAAGCGTCGGAACCGGGAGTGTTGCAGCACCCCATTTTTACACACTTGACTTATATAGCAACTGTAAATTATATTAATTTTCTGTGGGGCATGCACCCAGAACCTCCTAGATTGAACTGTCTGCATGTCTAGCCAAGCACCCTCACTTTGAAACTCCTTCCAACACCACTGGCAGTAGACAGAGTGCAGTTTTGTTTGATCTAAAAAACAAACAAGCAACTAAAATTACAAAACGTGGCACCCGTAGGAAACGTTTACTGTTAGGTAATACAGGATTTGAAAATCTATCAAATCCCGACGAAAAAAACTAATTGTAATTAACTATCATTTTCCATGCAAAGAGGTTTCACGTATTACAAAGATTACAATCGAAATCCCACAAACTCACCCAACTTTACAAGCAAAAGTGGCATTCTAGAGCTAGAGGGGATGCCTAACTCATTTGGCAAATACTTTTAGAAAACTTTCAAAAATCGACTATCTGGTACATAATTTTTATTAAGTAGATACTATATATTAAAGAAGAAAGTAAATATCAGTTTTCATGAAAGTCAAGGTCGTACAACCTTGGACAACTTTGCGTAACATGTTAAAATCATTGTCATGTTTATCTCTCCCAGATCCAATTTCAATATAGACATTGTAGTTTCTCTAAACATAATCTACTCGGTCAGTGAAAGATATTGCTGTTGATGACCTTTTCTACTTAACGTGTGAAGTTGCAACAATATCTCCAAGGGCAACGTGGATAGTATCTGCTAAAGAATAACAAAGACACAAACGCCACTGGAACAAATCACTTTCTACAGCCTCCTTAAACAAACGCTAATGCCAAAACTGTATAAAAACAGACTAAACGATTTTTTAAAAATTCTTCTCTTAGTAAAAACACGTAGAAAATGCATTATATCCCTGCATATCACTCACTTACTACCACCTCTTGAGCTGTTCCTGTATGACCGAAGAGTGGTATTTGACTGTCACTCTTATAGTGCACCTATACCCAAATTGTACAGCGTTCTTTTTTAACAACGGGCAACGAACCATGAATCTCTTGATTTACAGTCTGGCCAGGTTAACTAATACCACGCCTGGTTAGAGCACTTTAACTCAATTTATTTTAGACTTCACTTTTCCACCGAATAACTTAGTTTTCCAAAGTCCTGTGATAGTTGTTTCTTTTAAGAGTACTTTTTATGTAATGAAAGTAGACTCCCCCGATGGCCAGTGGTAAGTTTACGAACTTTTAAAATCTGGGTTTCGGTGAGCTGAGTGTTTCCTATATTTACATTCGTTAACCGAAAGTAATTTTAGTTTCACAACTTGTTCCCTTCCCTCTCACACTACAGTTCTTTTTTTCAGCAGAAGCCTTTTTACCTACGTCATTTTATCTATTTTAGTTTTAAAATGTAAGTCATTTAATCTTACAATGAAAACACACACATTAGTGTGTTGTGATCCCTAAATTTTTAACCGCTACTCAAATCGTGTATACTAAACTGTAGAAGATTAAAGAAATGAATATTTTAAAGTTATTATTGTAGTTTTGCATTGTACATAAAGACATTGAAAAAAAAAAAGTCCTTCGGACTGTTGAGCTGCTTTAACTTAATTTCTACTCTCTCATTACCCTTTGTTCTAATATTGTTCCTTGTAGTGAATGAATGTATTATGGGATATATTTTTTGCTACTTTATGTCACTATTGTATGTAACTTATTTACTGTATATACATATAGTAACACATTGCATTTTTATCAGTCTACTTGGAGACGTTGGAAGTCGCCTTAGAAAGGTGTCAGAAAAATTAGTTTACAATAATAATAATTCGAACAGCAACAATAGGTTCCATTTCCTTAGGATATTAACACATTAATAATATCTAGTTTTTACTTACATTTTTCAGATTGAATTACATAATCAACAAACATATTTTCACTTTGGTGTTTTTTAAATGAACACACTAACTGTGATTTTTTTTTTGCTCCAGTGTTTGTTAAATACAATAAACTATTTATTCTTTACGAAATATGTGTCCTCTTTTTAGTTGTACTCCAGCATAAGTTTACCATGTTTAAGATGCATCTTTTATAGGAGTCTACAGGATCGATTGAATCCCGTGTAGGAACATGAGAATACATATCTTTGTGCAGCCTATAATATTTACTAAATCCTGAGCAACATGTTTTACCAGATCCTGCTATGATTATATAGGATCTTATAAAGGATAAAGGCGCCTGTTCAAGACTTTAATCAGGAAAACTGCAACAACAATGTGTAACACGTACAATATTATGCAAAGTAGTAATCCATATACCACAATCAAATTCATGCCGCACTACAGAGAGATTTCTTATAGCAAAGCCACAGCGGGCTATTTGCTATGTTCACCGAGGGGAAACGAACCCCTGATTTTAGCATTGTAAATCCGTCGACTTACCTCTGTCCCAGCGGGGGACCGCACTACAGGAAATGACATTTGAACAAAGTACAATTAGTTATGACAATGGAGGTTTGTGATTACCACATTACACTGTATTATACTATAATATACCATGTTATGCTATGCTATACTATACTAAGCTGTACTGTATTATATTGTTACGATAGCGGAAGTCACGTGACGCTGATAACACGTAATGAGTTCTAGAAAGATCGGGGAACATCACGAATAATCCAGTATTTGCTAGGCACCCTCTATTCTTGTATATAAGTGCGTCAGACAATGAATCGAGATAGAATAGCAGACAGGTACAATATACCAGAGATATAAGAAAATACTTGCTAAGTGAAAATACTGTTACGTCTCTGGTCGTTAGTTAATTTTTTGTAAAAATTCTTTCCGAAGAAACTTTAGCGATGCAAGTCCTTTCTCAAATAAAATTGGTTTATTCTTTCTGAATAGAACTTTGCAATACACTTAATTTCCACAGTCGCGCTATAACAAACGCTATTATTCACAACGAACGTCTCACGTGCTCGACTCAAATCGACTCTATCTCTGTCTGCAGTTCAATTACACATTACATTACATTGTTCCGTCACTTCTTACCGGTCTTATATATACAATAATACCGCATATCTAGTAACCTCTCGAGACTTCAGGAAAGGACGCGAACGTTCGAGAATATGACGTGTTACTAGCGTCACGTGACCCCACTGTCGTAACAATACTGTATTTTTAGAACTTTATACATTGACATGAGTATTGTAACATGACATTGCAAACAAATTGAATACATTTAAAATAACAAGTTTTACTGCTTTCCTACATTTAATCGGCTTGATGGTGCCGACGTATCTCTTTTTGTATTTACATTCTGATGATTTCGTTTTGTGAAATACGACACAAATTTGGTATGTTGGGCGAGGCCATGCAATTTGTAAAACATAAAGCTGAAAATATTATATGCTAAGGTAACAGTTTCATATTTAGGTACGGGAATTGGGACTTGTCAGTGTGATAAGGGATTTATTGCACTGCTGTTTCTAGTTTGACATTTAAAGGTATAAATACATCATATTAGTATCGGTGATATACTGTTACGTCTCTGTTCGTTTGTTAATTTCCCGCAGAAATTCTTCCAGAGAAACTTCAGCAATACAAGTCTTTTCTTAATAAAAGTAGTTTATTCTTTCTCAATACAACTTTGCAATACACTTAATTTCCACACTTAAACACACGCTATAATTCTCAACGAACGATTCACGTAATTTACTTACTACCGCGCCTGATTCAAATGTCCGTCTATATCTTCAATCTCTAGGCCTTCGTTTTATATGCTTCGATACGGTAAGAATAGGATGTTACTTCGATTTCTTATTATTTGAAATCCTTTTACGGTTATAAAATATGCATGACATGCCCAGTATAATTCATTATATCCATAGTTTAGGTTTGACCTAAGTTGCGGAAGTTTGTTACGATCTGAACATCATATTGTTGTACATTTACACTTTTATATTTTAACTTATAGGTCTTAAATTAGGAGCAATGGTTGCAGCAAGATGGCGCCAAAATAGCACACATTGACAAATAGAAATAGAACGTCGTATCTTGTCTATTATGGGATATCTAGAATCTAACAAGAATCCTCTATTGTGCTTTTGATTGAGATGGCTAGACTTCTTCATAAATTGGATTATTTTCTAACTCATTATTTTGCTTTTGTTTCTGTAATAGGATTAAATAGTGATATTTTACAATAATTTTCAACTATATACTTCGACTATATACTTGTTGACCTTTTAACCTTATTTTATGCAGATTTCATCCCCTAATTACCTTCATTTAGGTACTGCACTACAATACACTAACGATGAGGATTCCACCGGGTGATGAAAAATATCGTGATCGCTTTTAATTTCTAATTATTGTGAATCAGACATTGCCTGAAGATGACTCGAACATATTTGATAAAAGTCGCAGTATTGATCACTTAAAACACTCATTTACATTGTAAAGATTATATTCAATTCTAGATTATGTTTAATACGGTTCGTGTTTCACGTGATTAGAAGTTTAGAACACACTTTTGGATTTGTTTAAATAAGCTGTAATGTTTCAATTTATAAAGCAGCAAAATGACATTTTTTATATTTTTTACGTGTGTGTGTTGGTTTCTACTAGGTCACAAATAAAGACAAAAAAATAACGTATTTTCTTCATCATAAGAAAATATTAGTACATAATTATCCAAATACACATAAATATAATTAAACATCAGGTCTGACAAAAAAGTGAAATCTCTTATTTTCTCTGTATAATACATAAAAGACAACAGCACTTATTAGTGAGATTAATTGCAATATCAAGGGTATTTTAAAATCTTTTTTATATTATTCAAATGT